ATCAAGCACGTCAGCATTTCATGATATAGTGAAAGCGTGAACATGAAATAAAGGCATTGGAAGATTTATTCAGCGATGATTCCGAAGATTATATATGGACTAGAATTTGTGGTATTAAAGTGTAAATACCCTGTAAGGATAATGAATTGACCAGTCGATAAGCATTAATTCTTGGAGATATTCATCTGAAGTTGTTTGATAATGAAATCAATCGACATAGACTGTAAGTGTCCTGAATCTTCATTTCTTCCTTATCAGCCCAAGTCATATTCTGAATAACTGATGATTTCGTTAGTTATTGAACTCTTCTTATAGTTATTCTAAATTTTGATATCCTATCGGTATACTGAAGATTCATATTTCTCTACCTGCTAAGATTATCCAGTACCTCTGAATAATTTCTGTAAACTCTGGTGTGTTCCCTAATCACCTGTATATTTTACCTGATTTCCGATTTGATTTCTATTATAATACCCGACCTGGATTCTTATCGAATACTTGACCTAGATTTTGATCTGATACTTGACCTGGATTATGTTTTGATTTTTGATATATCCGTTTACAGACGGAACATGTTTTATTAGGGGTAATGTTGGAGGAAGTATACCTGGAGGCTCCTCGGCTGTGTGCTCAGGGCCTTACTTACCGGCTCCTCGGCTGTGTACTCAGGGCCTTACTGGACTTGACGGTGGGTGTATGGTTCTGGGGAACCTACACATTTTGGACTTAACGGATGGGGGTATATATATATGTTTTAAAAAAGATCTGAAAAGTTACATGATTTTTGGGAACACACTAGAAAACCTATTCTGATCTCTTGAACCTAAACATCCCAAATATTTTCCATCAGAACTGAATACTATCTGTTAATACCTGAAATATCAATGGTACCTCAGCTCAGCCAAAGAAATCTGTAGATATCTGAACCAATAAGGAAATATATGTTTATATGTATCTGCACGTTCTTCAGCATCATCTGGTAGTTTTGTATTATTGAGTTTTTCGAAGCTCACTCTATTACTCACCTTTGCAGATTAAAAGAATTGTACCAGTGCAACTATCGTCATCAGTAAGGGAGTTCTTCCGATGCTGTTTGCAGAGTATGGTACATGTGATTAGGGGGCATGTAATTGCATTTTGTTTTATATACGAGTCTGAAAATATGTTTTATTTTTAAATAGTGACAAATGATTTTATAAGTTTACATGTTATGATAAAAAGTTTTAAATTTTTCGCTATTTTTACAGTGGATCGCTCCGGTGGCCCTAATGTGACACTCCAGATCGGATCGGGTCTACCGTATCAATCTGGGGGTTACACGTGGACTTTGCAACTCACATAATATTATTACCACTCATACAATCTTTCTTTTAAACACACTTTTTCTCATCAATATTTTCTCTCATGCTTACAACCCAAACTAAGCTACAAACACATATTTATATAACTAATTAACCACCCTACTAGAAATTCCATTGAACAATGCTCGCGGCCTCAGTTTTAGAACCTTGGACCCTAACAGAATTCTCTGCCCTAGCATCCAGAACTATAGGTCCTGACAACGCTCACAACCCTCATATCTGGAATCCTAGGCCCTCACCCTAGCCTTGATAGTACTAGGCACTCTAGCGTTGCTCAATCGAACACCCAAACCCCTCAATGGACCACATGTCCGCTCACATGCCCTCCCCGTAAACTCACACACCTTGCACCACCGTCAGATCAACGAAATTCCATTATGGTCGTAAAGACGAGTAACTTTTTTTAATTATTTAGAATTAGGACTAAATTGACAAAGTGTATAAATATCAAAGAATTAAATGTATGCATAGTTTAAAAATACCACATCATATTTTTGTTTTAATGTAGAGGGACCAAAATAGAACCAATAAAAAACTTAAATAACAAAATTAAAAGTTTTTGTAGTCTGGTTACTAAAATAACAACACCCGAATAATTGGGTGGCTAACAATAAAATTTACCCTAAATTATTTTGACCTCGGATTAAATCATATTCGGAATATTTTAAAATTGGATTTGTTTAGTTGGTATCAATACCGCATCATGTAACATCAAATTGAAAAGGACAGGAACGAACAATAAAATCAGAATTTTCAAATTAAACTTTTTTTATGGTCTATTCTTTTTCTTGATTAATTCGTATCGACTCATATCGTACACTTAATTTTGATAGGTCAATCTCACAGTAGAAATTTTTTACATATACAAATACTCAAACTCGAAATTTTAATAAAGTGATATCAAACTTAATTTGCCTTTATTGAAGTGATTGCACCAAACCATCTTTATTATTAAATATACTTTGATTTTTTTTATTAAAATTGACGTCGTTGTACCTAACCTAACATACTTTGGTTTTTTTTTTCTTTTTTATTTGCAGTATAAAATTAGTATTAAATATAAAGAGAAGAAAATGGATATGAAAACAATAAAGTTATTTGACCCAACCTTCATTATCTTCTTCCAGCAGGTATTTATTGACTACACTGCCCATGACATAAACCATTGAAAAACAATAAACACGCTTCAAAGTTCAAACATTTTCCTACGTGAAACTTTCTGCAAATCTTATTTATTTCCTTAGGCACGACGCTATAATTATTCTAAACACTGTCCTAACTATAAAAAAAATACATTTCAAAATAAACTTAATTTAATAATAAATAAATAAATAAACCCAAATAACAAATACCAATATCAGTAGCCTGTAAGGTAAAAAAAGACAACAATTACCAATACACTTGGAAATTTGTAATTACCTGTTGTGCTGTGTGCGTGTAACAGTTACTTGTTCCGCCAAGGGTATGTGATTTCCTTGTATGTTGTTGTTTTTGGTGAAAATTGCTTTAGTGTAGGTGATTCTAGCACAGGCAGTCAGGCATAGAGAACCTTTTGGAGTGGCTCTTTATAGCACCGTGTCCTCATATTATCAGGAACGTTTTTTCGCTAGTTCTATCCGGTCATCTCCGAACAAATTTGTCAGAAGAGGTATTTATTGAATTTTACATTTTTATTGTTCTTTCAAATCTCATAAACAGCAAGGAACATGATTCTTTTTCATTCTTTTTACGTTCATTAACTTGATTTTTTCATAAACTGCAAGTCCATGGCATATATTGCTTTCTACCCATGTTCATTAACTGTGTTGCCCAGTTTCTAACATATTGCTCGTGACTTGCAGCCATGGACTTTATTCTGAATAAGATTAATAAGCACTTGGACAATCACATGAGCTTTGATCAGCATATGAAGGACCTTAAAAGGAAATTAAAAGAATTGAATGGTACGAAGAAAGATACGGAATCCATAATGAGAACACAGCTGCAGCCAAGGAAGAAACTGAAGGCAGAAGTCCAAATATGGTTGGAAAATGTTGAGAGAATCAATGGCGAAGTGCAAGACCTTGATGGAAGAATTGGTGAAAGCAATGCTCTTACACGTGGATTTCACACAGAAGATGTGTCAAAGAGTACAACGGAAGTTGAAGAACTTATTACTCAATACGGAAAATTTCATGGAGATTTGGTGGTTGACAATCCTGAATGGATCGGACAGATTTTGTCGACAACAAATTTATCAGGTGAAGCTGTAAAGTCCTGTGTTGAAGATATTTGGCAGTGCTTAATGGATGATGAGGTCACAAAGATTGGAGTTTGGGGGATGGGTGGCGTGGGGAAAACAAGCATCATGAAAGTTACAAACAACCAGCTCCTAAAAGAGACGGGGAAATTCGATATTGTAATTTGGATCACCGTATCCAAAGAGATGTGTATTCCTAAACTGCAGAAAGACATTGCCAGTAAAATCGGAGTAGAATTTTCTGGCGATGAAGATGAAACAACTAAGGCAGGGATTCTCTTTGAAACATTGTCTGAAAAGAGTAGGTTTGTGATGATCTTGGATGACCTATGGGAGAAGGTTTCACTTGAGAGAATAGGAATTCCTGAGCCATCAAATGGGAGTAAGTTAGTGTTGACAACTCGATCTTTTGATGTGTGTCGACAAGTGGGTTGTAGAGTAATTAAAGTAAAGCCTCTGACGGAAGAAGATGCATGGAAGTTGTTCTTGGAGAAGGTGGGTCGTGATATTCTCAATATTCCAGGGCTGGAACTAATTGCAAGATCGATCGCAAAGCGTTGTGCAGGTTTGCCCTTAGGAGTAATTACTATAGCTTCTTGTATGAAGGGCATTGATGACATTTCAGAATGGAGGAATGCACTAAAAGAATTAAGTCTACGCAAAAGAGTGTTAATGGATTCGAAGATGAAGTGTTCCAACAATTACAATTTAGTCATGATCGTTTAAAGAATCCAAAACTTCAAGACTGTTTCCTCAGTTGTGCATTGTATCCCGAAGATGAGGAAATTGAAGAGGAAGGTCTTATTCAACTTTGGATCGCAGAAGGGCTTGTGGAAGAAATGGATAGCATGCGGGCAGGGTTTGACAGGGGTCGTGCAATAATGAATAGACTCATCAACAATTGTTTGTTAGAAGTTTTTACTCATGTTGAAAATGCAAGAACTGTAAAGATGCATGATCTTCTAAGGGACGTGGCATTACGTATTGCAGAATCTCGATTCTTGGTAAAAGCGGGCATGATGTTAAGAAAGGCACCAGATGTTCAAGAATGGAGCAAGGATCTAGAGAAAGTTTCGTTGATGGGGAATCGGTGGTTATACATACCCTTGGAAATGTCACCCCCGAAGTGCCCCAGACTCACAACATTGTTGTTGTCTGATTGTGATATAGCGAGTCTTCCTGAAGGGTTCTTCAAGCATATGCATGGGCTTAGGATTCTTGATCTTTCCAGAAATTCTATCAAGAGTCTTCTAGTTTCCTTGTCGACGTGTCCCGGGCTCACAACATTGTTATTGTCTGATTGTGGTATAAGGAGTATCCCAGAAGAGTTCTTCGATCATATGGATGCACTCAAGATTCTTGATCTTTCCTTCAACCCTATCAAGAGTCTTCCACATTCCTTATCAAATTTGAAGAATCTCATTTCATTGTTACTTGCTTATTGTAAAGATTTAGAGAATGTTCCATCGTTGTCAAATCTTAAAGTTTTAAAGAAGTTGGATCTCCAAAGAACATATATCAAGCAAATCCCTCAAGGAATGGAAAACCTGGTGAGTCTCGAATATCTAAATCTGGATCAGTCAAAGAACCTAAATGAGATCCCAAATGGAATACTTTCAAGACTTGCTTGCCTTCAACACTTGATCGTGGAAGGAACACTGATAAGTGGAAAGGAGGTTGGTGGATTGAAGAAACTGGAAATTCTTAAAGGAAGGTTTTACGACTGGCACAACTTACATATGTATCTCCAAACTTGTCGTGGTCGAGAAGAGCCACGACAATACATAATCTCTGTGGGAGGTGTACTATGGCATGCGGTGGGTAAAGAAGTAAGAAAAGACATTGTTGTATGTGGTTGTAATATTTACAGCTATCAGATTATGCTTCCACGTGACATTAAGGGATTGCGTATCTGGGATTGCAACGTTGATTGTAGTGAAGAATACCCCCTTTTCTCCAGGTTTATCCTCTCCTCAATTGGCTCCTTTTCATATCTTAAATTTCTTCATATATATGATTGTGGGAATATGAGAAAGTTGTTCTCCCCAGACTGCGTACCACTGAATTTACAAGAGCTTAGAGTTGTCGGGTGTGAGCAAGTGGAGGAAATAATAGCATCAGAAGTGGATGAAAGAGTAATGGTTACCGTGGAATTTCGTCTTCCACAATTAAGGATATTGAAGTTGTGTTCTCTACCGGAATTGAAGAGCATTTGCAGTGTGGATTCAGTAGTGGTTTGTGATTCTCTAGTAGAAATTGAAGTACTGAAATGTCCCAAGTTAAAAAGAATGGGTCTTAATCTTCCCCTACCTGATAATGTGCCACCATCTGCATCTGCATATGTACCTCCACCTTCTCTCTTGGTGTTTATATAAAGCCAAATGAGTGGTGGGAATCAGTGTCAATAGGATGTCAAGTCTCTTTTGGAGCCCTTGGTGAGGGTGTTCTAGTAGGATCAAACTGGATAGCTCTTTGTTGAAAGTCAGGGGAACTACGGGTCATTGGCATTGCTTTTATTTTTCTTGTTTACGGGGAATTACTTTGGTGAATGAAAGCTGGATTATTATATGAATAAAATTTAGGATAAATTACACGTTTACCTAAACTATCAGTTTTGATTCGTTTTAATACTTAATTTTTTTTTTCAAAACCATACATAACGTTTATTTTTTATTTTATTTTAGTACCCCGCCGTTAAAAACTTAACGGATGGGCTCGTCCGTCGTCACGTCTACAGTCGTTGAACGTCGTATCCGTCAGCCACCACGTCTACAATTGTCGATTTTCGTATTCGTTGGCCGATAAAACTCAAACTTTCTATCCCGCACCTTTTCGACCCCCTAAACGCAATTCTGACCTCTGTTTCATTGAGAAACGCCTCAATCTCCCCAAATTGATGATGCACTCTTTGATTTATTCATCCTTTGATTTCCATGGTCCACAACCCGATGAGCCTGAAAATGGAGTATGTTGGTCGACTCTTCATTCTCTCGCAGCCCACCGTTCAGATTGGTCGTCCCTCCACTGGAGTTATGCCACGTCAGCCCGTACGTTAAATTTTTAACGGTGTGATACTAAAATGAAACAAAACCTAAATGTCAAAAAATAATTTTAAAAAAAATAAAAATTTAGGTATTAAAACGAATCAAAATTGATAATTTAGATATTAAACTGGTAGTTTACACTAAAAATTATTATAGGAATCCCGTTTATCACGTTATTCATAATCCTACTAATAACTATCATTTATGTCATTTTTTTCTAAGGATAAATCTTCATTCTTTTTCCATATTTGATAATAACATAGAGAAAAAGAGTGAGATAAATGATTTTTATTGGTTGAAATTGTCGAAACGATTTTTTAAACCGTGGAGGGGGCGAGATTTTGGAAACCACGTCATTTTTAATTATTCTCTTTACGATTGATTTTAATTAAAAATAATACGATTTTAGAAAACCTCTCGTTTCGAAAAATTGGAAATTCCTTTACGATAAAAAATAAGGTTCGAGGAGTCGCCACCAATCTTTGATTAGGGTGTGATTGGACACCCAAAACGTTGTCATTTTAAATAAAAAAATATTTTTAATTAAAACGACGAATTTGCAGTCTGCGTTATCAAAATCTGAGTTCGGGAGTCGGTTACGCGTGGGGAAGGATTAGCACCCCCACAGCGCCCTAAATCGGTACCTAGTCGATTAATTAATGTCTTTGCAGCGAATTTTACAAGTTCAACTTTAATTTAATTTTTGATCCTTAAAACAACAAAAGTGCAAATTTTATGGTATGCAAAAGCAACGAAATAAGTTAAGTTAAAATTACCAAGTCGTTAGAAAGATAAAGAATATTCGATTATTTATAAATACCGAGACCAAATCTTTAGTTCAGTTCTAACGACCTTTTCTCGAAAAGTTTAAATAGTCGAATATTTCCTTTTCTTTCGCTCCCAAATTTTACAATGATATATCCAAATTTAATCAGGCGTCACTGACGGGATACACTTGTAATTTAAAATCGTCAAAAACAACTTTCCTGTAAGTTAAGAAAAGCCATTATGACAGTTTTACATTAAAAGGATATTGCCCTTAATCCGGTTATGTGATTAGATCGAGTTATGCATATGAGGGTAACATGCAGAAATTAATTGAATATTATGATTAAACTATCATGCAATGTGACATGTGAAAATTATCTACATGTATATTTTAATTGAAAATTAAAACCATGCGCATTAACACATAATATACAAACATGACTGAAATACAAAGAAGAAAACTTAACATTTCAAACTATAAATTTTAAAAAATAATTACAACTATTAAACAGAAGGACTAAATACTGAAACATAACTTTAATGACTTAATTACAAATAAAATAATTATTTAGGTAAAAACTAATATTATACTATGATAAACCAAAAAGTTGAAATAAAACAACTTAACATTACAAAGGACTAACATAGAAATAAAACCTAAGCAACTAGGATTAAAAAGGAACATGCAAAAATTAAAAGCCTTAATGTCTAAACAACAAGAAAAATAAATACAATTCATGCTGGACTACAATTAAAAGATCACAAACTTACAAGACAAAATCAAAAACAAGGCAATATCAAATTGGGGACTGAAACATAACACATGTAAAATATGAAGACCAAATTTAAAAGCATAAATATTCTATTTAGACTAAAATGGACTAAGCTGAATAAATGCATGACTACCTAGGAAATAAATCCACAATTACATGCTGGACCAAAATGTAGATTTACAAAACCGCATAGCAAATGTACAAACAAAGAATAATTCAAACAACTATGTTCAAGGACTAAAATAGAATGTGCAAAAACTTGAAAACCAAATGTGCAAACGAAAGAAAATGCATACCCTATCATTCAGGACTAAAATAAAATGTACATGAAAGATGAAGTCCAAATTACGAAACAAACAGAACTCGATTGGGACCAAAATGGAAATCAATGGCAAATGTATAGTGACCTTAAAGCAATTAACCCTAAAAACCTAATATAAAACTAACTTTAGGCTAAACCTAACCTTCATTTGCCTATTCTCTTCTTCCACGCAGAACGGCGCTACTCTCATCTACAACTCACCCATCTCCCTCGTTCATCCTCGCCGCAGCTCTCTCCTCAAACCACCACGGCAGTGCTCCTCACCTCCCCAAGGACGACGCTCGGCCACCGTTCACAGGTGGCCCCTGCTAACTTTCGAACCAGGCACAAAACCCAAACCCCGACGATGCTAAACCGACATCAACAATCAAGCAGAATAGAACCAAAGGTAAATCTAACTGTCTATTTCTATTTCCCTTACCTTCATTTTGTTTTGCTCGATCATTCATTGATTTTCAGGCTAACCATCGAAAATTAAATTTTTTAATGCACTGGGAGTTGCTTGATTTTCTACTCATAAGCTGTTAGGATTAATCTATCTCGTTACTGTTTTTTTTTACTCTTGTTAAAACAAACACTCACACTAAAAAACGAATTTCAAGAGAATACCTCCATTGATATTGCTTTCAAAGGAACCGGGTATGACCCTCGTTACAGCATTTTAATGGGTTTCATAATACCCTCGTTACAAGCACAAGTTTTCTTTCTTTCTTTCTGGCCTGCTTTTTTCCTCTTTGAATGCTTTTTTTTTTCCTCGTGAACCTCCTCTCTTGCTTTTAAAACTGATTTCCCTTTATGTGTTTTTTTTGGTTCCCTTCTCAGTCCGTGCTCCTCGTTAATTGCCTGGTCTTGAATTGTGTGGTCGTTATTTTTGATGCTGCAGAGCATGGGTGGCAGAGCCATGTCTCTGTCTTCACGGGCGTGGTCTGCTGTAGTGGAGCAGGGCGTATGAGCTGTTGCTCGTGGGAACGGTGAAGCATGAGTTGCTGCTTGGTTCTAGCATTTCACGTGGGAAGCAGCTGCTAGGGAGCTGTGCACGGTTAGTGGAGCAACAGGACATGGGTCTCACTCGAGAACCGGCCACTTTGCAGCTGCAATTGTGTTGTTTCACGTGGGAGGTTACTCGGTCACAGCTGGGAGCTGAGCCTTGTCTGCTCGGTTGTAGTGCTGGCAGGGTGATGTCCGGTCAAGCATGGACACTCGTGGGTGATGCTTGGAAGGGCGTGGAGTAGCTGTTGGGGAACCGTGCTGCACATGGGAGACATGGATAGCTTGGGTTGGGTTGCAATTTAATTACTGTTGGGCTTGAATCTTGACCTTGCAATTAATTTGGTTTGTAATTGGGCTTCAAATATGTAAATGGACTTTAGACACTTAATTTGTATTGAACTTCAATATGTGTCTCGATTTCCATATACGACTAATCCCAATTGAGCACCTAAAGCTTCCAAACGTAAACTTTCAAGCTTCGTCGTTTGAATTGATTCTTCGTCTGAGCATGATTACTTCCAAATTAATTATCAGGCATCATCAAATGGATTTAAAAAGCCTGGACAAAATTAGGGTATTACAGCTGCCCCTCTTTGCTTGTTTTTGTGAACACAAGAATGTAGCAAAGACAAAAATAATGACCTAATTTTGTTTGATTGCAACGTCATTTCTCTTTCTTCAGTCTTCTTCTTGACTTTCGCTTCCGTCACTTGCACAAACACTTTTAATGGATTATTTCACTTCTTCATATCCGAGAATCTTCGGTTTCTTCCCACATCTGACGATCTGATGGTTTGCTCCAACACTCTTCTGAAAAGGCTAAAAATGGCTCGGATGACTTATATAGTACTTGGGCGTTTTTGTCCAGTCCCATCTTCTTGCTTTAAAATTTGATAAGAGATCTGCTTCACTCGATCTCCGGGGTAAGTGAGACTTGAAAAATCTTCGGATAACATGTCTGCTCCCTATTCTTTCAATGGGTATAGGACTTGATCAATCTTAGATCAGCGGGTTCGCTCCTATTTTTCAGGATGCATGAAACTCGCACAATCTTCAACAAACGTCTCTGTTCTCTATGCTTCAGAGAGTATAAGACTCGAACAATCTTCAACAATCGTGTTTATTCCTTATTTCTTCAAAGAGTATAAGACTCGAACAATCTTCAATAATCTGGTCCGCTCCCTCTTTCTTCAGGGAGTATAGAACTCGAATAATCTTCTGCAAACAGGTTCGCTCCCTCTTTCTTCAGGGAGTATAGAACTCGGACATATTCTTCAAACGAGTTCTCTCCCTCTTTCTCTAGGGAGTATGGAACTCAAACATCTTCTTCAAACGGGTTTGCTTCGCTCTTTCTTCAGGGAGTATAGAACTCGAACAATTCTTCTGAAAACGGGTTCGCTCCCTCTTTCTTCAGGAAGTATAGAACTCGATAATCTTCTTCAAACGGGTTCGCTTCCTCTTTCTTCAGGAAGTATAGAACTTGGAAATTTCTTCAAACGAGTTCTCTCCCTCTTTCTCTAGGGAGTATGGAACTCAAACATCTTCTTCAAACGGGTTCGCTTCGCTCTTTCTTCAGGGAGTATAGAACTCGAACAATTCTTCTGAAAACGGGTTCGCTCCCTCTTTCTTCAGGAAGTATAGAACTCGATAATCTTCTTCAAACGGGTTCGCTTCCTCTTTCTTCAGGAAGTATAGAACTTGGAAATTTCTTCAAACGGGTTCGCTCCTTCTTTCATTAAGGAGTATAGAACTCGAATAATCTTCTGAAAACGGGTTCGCTCCCTCTTTCTTCAGGAAGTATAGAACTCGATAATCTTCTTCAAACGGGTTCGCTTCCTCTTTCTTCAGGAAGTATAGAACTCAAGAATCTTCTTCTTACGGGTTCGCTTCGCTCTTTCTTCAGGAAGTATAGAACTCGAATAATCTTCTGCAAACAGGTTCGCTCCCTCTTTCTTCAGGGAGTATAGAACTTGGAAATTTTCTTCAAACGGGTTCGCTCCTTCTTTCATTAAGGAGTATAGAACTCGGATATCTTCATACGGGTTCACTCCCTCTTTCTCTAGGGAGTATGGAACTCAAGTAATCTTCATTTGCTTCACCACTTTATTGTGAAGGCTTGAGTTTGATTTGCCTCAAAGGTCGAACCTGAAAATCAAACATTATCAATCATTAATGTATGCTTGAAGATTCGAAAAACATTATACTCAAAAATTTAAAATTTAAGAGAATCTTTTCGAAATCATTTCTCTTGTGAGAGCTTGTCTCGCCGCAATTGAATACGAGAGTCTTCCTTGACTTGACTGCCATTTGAACCTCTCCCTTTCTGGGACCTTGAATCGGTTAATGACTCCTCGCGCGTGTTTCCTTTTAATCACTTGATCAGCTTCTTTGTACTCGAAAACTTTTTCTTTTTCTCCTACATCTGATGGTCGGATGGTTTGTTCCAACACTCTTCTGAGAAGGCTTAAAATGGATCTGCTTCACTACTTTTTGGTGAAGACTTCAGATGGTTTGCTTCACTACTCTCTGGTGAAGACTTATGATTGTTTGCTTCACTATTCTCCGGTGAAGGCTTCAGATTGATTGCTTCACTATTCTCCGGTGAAGGCTTCAGATGGTTTGCTTCACTATTCTCCGGTGAAGGCTTAGGATGGTTTGCTTCACTTCTCTTCGGTGAAGGCTTAAGATTGACTTGCTCCAATCTCATGTGTGCAAGTCCTTCCAATCGATCGATTCACTTCTTCATACACAAGTATCTTTGTTTTTTTTTTTTCATCTGATGGTCATCACTCCAGATTAATGTCTCCTCTGTGGATTAGACCTCTCAATTCTTCAGGGTATGTCTCTCTAAACGCGACTCCTTGCGTTTGAGGTTTGAAATCTTCATTTCAACTTGTTGGTCTTCTGACATCATGAATCTTCTCTTTTCTCTTGAAATCTGTCAAAGCCATGTGTTTAAATGCAAATGCAACTAAATATAGCAGTGTAATGCATTTTCTTTTATGCGAATGATGTTTTCATGAATGCAAAAATATTGATTCAATCTTCACTCGTCTCCAGAGTAGTGAACTCATTCTTCTTCTACTTGATCACTCTTTAAAAGGTCTGCTTCATATACTCGTGTAGCAACTCATAGTTCCCAACTTGCATCATTGAAGATCAATTTAATCTTATTCTATATTCTTGTCGTCTTTGTCTTCTTTCTTCATTTCAAAGAAAGTGTCTTCTCTCTCAACTTCTTGCTATGGCCAGAAGCATGATTGTGTTGCCCTATTTTTTTTGAGACTATGCATGACCCTGCCGGACTCCACAAAGATCAATGGGATAGCAGCATCTATTCTGATTTGACTCTTGCAGCACATCCCAAGGAGGATCTACCCCAATTCTTCATGTCACCACGTCATTTCTCATTTTAACCTTGGAGATGCGTAAGACAACCTTCATCTTGGGTAATGGAAACAACACATGATCACAACATTGATTCAACATCATTTTTACCGGTTCGTAAATCATTTGAAAACATATTCATCTTTTCATGCGGTTTCTGCTCATATCTTTCCACCAGAGAAGCTCTTTGCATAGCGTTCAGTGTTTTTGTATGGTATTACAAGGATACCAAAACTCAATAGAAATTAAGGTGAGATGTTTTGGCTTGCCAACATTAATGCATGTGAAATCACCAGAATGATGCAACTGATGATGGACAAAATGATCATATACTGTAAACCCCAGTGTCACTGTTTCACTATTTTCAGCATTCATACATTTCTATCCCATTGGAAATATTTGTTCATTTCAATGATTTCTCCACAGGCCTTCATTGGCTTTCAAAAATGTCCCACATCAATACTTCTGGCTAAAACAGGCCTTCACTAATGTCGTAACATTATTTTATTCTGGTACGGGCCTTCAAAATGCCTCAATATCTCAAATTATAAGGCTCATTCTCAATGCCTTCTTGGTCTGAATCTTGTCATTTCATCATGATGTGGGTTCAGTCGCCCCAACATTATCTCATACTGGTACGGGCCTTCAAAATGCCCCATCACCTCAAATTGTAAGGCTCATTCTTGATGCCTTCTTTGTCTGAATCTTGTCATTCAAAATGATGGGGGTTCAATCGTGCCCCAATGTGGGTATTCATGGCTCCCTTCGCACCAAAATCTCTTAACTTCGAATGCTCAAATTCTAGTGCCGCCACACAACAGTGCGACCAAATGTCTTGAGGGCTTCTCTTCGCGCCTCCATCGATGCTTAAGGAATGATCAACCTTTCTAACATAATGCCTTGCATTTTGTTACGAGCTGGGATACTGCATCTCCTGAATGATGAGATCATCTTCTTCTTGATGGGCTACTGACAACGTCACAAGGAAACATTACAAGTTCTATCCATCCACTTTGATATCTTGGACCATCTGCTTCAAGATTGCGGATTGCTTCATGCTCCGACATTGCTTATTCTTCTTCTCAAAAAGAGGCACAATGAGCCTCATCAACTTCAAGGACCTTCCACATTTGAACTGTCCTGTTTGAAAATGTTTTTTTTTCATTTCTCTTATTTTAGGGATCAAAGAATGAAATAATTTTATAAAACATTGCCCCCTAATTCAAGCTCACAATTGAATCAAATCATAAACATGAGTTCACAGAATATCAAAAGAATCAATAGCTCTTTAATGTTTCTGGGTTATAGCTCTTTGACACATATCAAAATTGAGGGGTTGGTTTCAGGTTGGTTTCCTATTTTCTAAGGTTTCGGCCAACAAAATTTCATTTATTTCTCAATCATTGTGAACATTGCAACATGCCCTTCTTTTTGGCTTGGTATTTTAATCGGATGCGGACAAAATGACGCAACTAGCATAATCGATTACTAAACTTTCTAGAACATTTTTATTTCAGTTCTCTAAAATCTTCCATTTGTTCAAGCTTCGTAGAATCCTCTAGCCAAGGCAGTGCAGAAATATCGATCTAAAAATGAAATTTCTGAGTGCTTGTGTGAAATTGACTATAACAGGTGTTCCTTAACTCCCTTAGTCCATCTTTACCGAAACTCCTTATTTATAAAATTAATTTAATTTGCCATTGTCTGGCTAGCTGAAATCAGCTTTATTGTAATTTGCCTTTATCAGGCTAGCTGAAGGGTTCATCTCATCACAAAGTCTTTGACTTGACAATCACAGTGGAGCATACACCGAATTGCCAGGTACCCGATCAAGGTCATGGTTTGAGTATAATCT